AGGTCCCTTCCGACCCTAGAAACTATGAAACTATCACTCTTTCAAGGAAAGGCAATAAGTCAGAGGGTATCGGGATCGGGCTACCTAAAGAACCCTGCAGCAGCTGATTAAAACTAGGGAAGCGTTTCATGCCCAGGAACTTGGTAACTGGGCTGTTCAAACTAGAGCTTCTGCAGGGAAACTAAGATAAGCTCAAGGTTAGTGACTACCTGTTGGCGAGACTCTATCTGAGAGCTCCTGCTCCTGGGCTTCCTTTTCAGCCTCATGGTCTGACATTTCATTCTCATCCAACGCGCACTCCTTTACGCTTTCGTCGCCATTTACTGCCTCGTTCACATCCTGCTTTGCTGGACTCTTTCCCACCAGCTTTTTCTTCTTCTTGGCTTTGAGTTTGGGTTGAAAACTCCTTTTCTTCTCCAGCTCTATGCCTTTTTTTCCTGGGAAGATTGTAACACGGATTTCAGAGAGAACGATGTGGTTGGAGGTTAGCCTACTAGCTTCCTGCCTCTGGAGAGTAGAGTTCACATTTTGGTTTAAACTACCTAGTCTAGATCACTGGAAATCTTCACTGCAGCCCTGTCCAATCCTGCATGCAGAGTATTTGCTTAAGCTCTAGCAGGCAGATTTGAACCTAAAACAAGTATTATCACACAGTATTTGATTAGTGCCCCCAGCCACCTCTTCAGCAATGAATCCTCCATAACACACACTGACCTTTTGGGGGGTGGCTGTGCTCTTGCTTTGAGGTGAGCCATTTGTGCACACAAAAGTCGTCTCCCCCTGTATACACTGAATCTGGATCCACTGGGGACCACTGAACACAGAGCAGCCGGCCCCGATGCCCTCGGTAATTGGACAGAGGCTCCTCCTTCAGAACATCCCACACCTGAAAACAAACAGCCCTTTAGAGAAATCACAGAGCTAAAGGTGTAACACTGCGCAAACTACTCTTCAGTAGGCACTAGACCAGGGGTGGGCAAAATGCGGCCTGGGGGCCGGATGCGGCCTGCCAGGCCATTCTATCTGGCCCGTGGGGCCCCTAAAACATTTATAAAATCAATATTTATCTGCCCTGGGCTGCCTGTCATGTAGCCCTCGATGGCTTGCCAAAACTCAGTCAGTGGCCCTCTGCCCAAAATAATTGCCTGCCCCTGCACTAGAGTTTTACATTCAGAGAATTCACAGGCTAGATAACTTCAAGGACAAGCAGCATGGAATGGAAATTTCCATTTTCAACCAGCTCTGCCTTTCTACTTTTCCCAGAACTCTGCAAGCTTCCTTATTCTGCACAATTACTTCACTTCCTGGTGCGTTATCCCAATGTAATTCCAACTGTTGCTATTTCATGTTCCCACCAAACTTAAAGGCATATCCTGGCTAAAGAAGCAAGAGACCTGTCACCTTACAACTCCCCTCCTACAAGCTACTACAATTCCCAAGACCATTCTCTTCTCTGAACTAAAGCAGCACATGGTTTCCATTTAGAAACAGACACTCAAGAGAAAGATAGAAGAACAGTGGTTGAACACCCTGCTACCAGATTTCTGCTGTGAAGTTTGCAGCAACACCCAAGTTCAGCTGGCAAAAACCTACCCCTGGACCCCTACACCTTGCCATTAATTTGATTTAAAAATCTACAGAAGGGAGAATTTGAAACCAAAAGGAACACAGTAAGAAGTAAACCCAGAACAATACCTGTGCAGTGCCATCGTAGCAAGCGGATACCAGCCTCCCTTCATGGTGCGGACTCCAAGACAGACTTGTGATTTTAGCAGTGTGTCCTGCCAGAGTGCGAAAAGGCTCCGTTATTGTCGGAGGAGTTTCTGGAGGGCTCTCTGAGAAGAAAAAAGAGAGGGGTTGGGTAAGGCTGGGTGGACAACGCATGCCATTTCACTCAAAATGGATATTAAATTAGGCCACATTTTCTGGTAGGGGGCCATGCCTGCATTAAGTCTGCCATGGCCAGATTTGCACATGCAAATATAGATGAGTAACTACACAAACACCAGAGCAAATATAGATGAGTAACTACACAAACACCAGAGTCATTGTGCACTGAAAGCTTGGCTCAAATCAAACTGCCTATAGCTATGTCTTATTAGCTTCCTCTGATGAGCGCTCTGGGAGAGGGTAAGCACAAAGGACTACCAACAAAATCAGTTTCTTTCAGCTGGCTCCATTCACATACGCTGGACTCCATTCCAGCATCTCACAGATTCATTTCTTTCTCACTCCATACTCAAGGCATTCTCCCTGTGCAGCAACTGAAGTAGTTCTTAGTTTCTTTTCACATGCATCTAACAACACTGAGAAATACGTAGGCTTTTCCTGTGGGGAAATTTCTCCTAGGTTAATTTGCTCACAGATTTCTCTGCTTGCATTTCCTTTGCATTTCAAGGTTGGAATGTCAGGTAACCTCTTTAGAGAGCAGAAACATGCAAGTGCCCCCTCTTACCAGAGAGGAGTCTGACCCTCCTTTAACTCTTACTACCAACATCAAACCTTATGCTGGCCTGGAAATGATTCCCAATGAAATAGAAGGTGCTTCTTCCCACCCTTGTAGCCCCCAACATTCCCAAGCCCTGCTGACACACAAAAGTAACTCCCCTCACCCCGAATAATTATTCTTAGAAGAGTGGACAGAGACAACAGCCTACTCCTTTAGCATCATGGGGTAAAAGACAGTAGGGGAGAGACTTTGAAAAGCCTAAGGAAAGAAAAAAGGCTGAACCAGAAAAGAAGCAGCTGTGATCACCTATGATGCTCTTCAGGTTTTGCACGTAAATGACAGCATTGATTGAACCCGAGGCAATCAAGTAGCTCAGCTCTGGCTGGGTCCCATGCTCATGGTGCCAGCAAATGGCATTAATCAGTTTATGATGCTGCTGGATGATGCAGAGCAATTTCAAGTTTGGAGCCTGAAATATTTCAATTGATCTGAAATTTAAAAATAAAGCGTCAGACATCTGCAGATCAGTGAAAACTGCTCTGCTTTTAGTACTTCCCACCCGAACAAAAATGTCATTGTACAGAGGGTCTGAAGGTTGAACACAAGCAAGAATGGTTTGACATGCTGTGGCCCTTTGATACAGGTGAACCTGAATTTGGCTCATATCCTGGCTTTAGGACCCGTTTTCACTTGTGGGCAGTTGTCAAAAATCACTATACAGCCCAGCATGATGGACTGTCTGTGCTCATGAGAGGCTCAGTATTGGGATAGTTAGCATGCAGCACGCTTTACCGAGATGCACGGGCAGCAGCACTGCGCTGAAAGAACTTCCTGCAGCATACCCAGCTCTGGGTCAGGCTAACTGTTTTACTAACATGAACATGAGCCAACACCTTGATAGGGCTGAAGGTCAAGAGATAACAGGGCAGCACAAGATACCTCTGCCTCACTTTGCTTATTCTAGCTGTTGATTGTTTAATCAGCATTAACTGGTATGTTTTAAACCTACCCATCCTCATTACCAAGAGCCAAGATTTTGCCATCTGGTTTCCAGCTGATCTCAGTGCGAGCAGGCATTTTGTGCTGGAGAAAGTAAACAGAACTATTATCAGTAACTCCCACAAACCTGTGACTCTTTCCTCTATAAATCCAACAGAGCAAGCTCAGCAATCACACTGGGAGTTTACAGTTAGACAACATCTAGAAAAGGAGAGTCACCGCGAATGTCCAATGTGCAGACCACTTTGTATAGGTAAAGGGCCAGCCTAAGTAAAAGAAAAAAAAGAAAGCTTTTTTTCTTTTCTTTTTTTTTTTTTTTTTTTAAAGGGGGGTCAATTACTGGGGAAAAGGGACTTTGGGGGTGGGGTTGAATTAT